CAGTGACTTTCCATATGACAGTTATCGGTGACTCTTCATCAGACACATTGCAAATGACATATATGACCAATTCATTCACAAATGATCTTGAACCACCACAGAAATTGCTAATACGAAGTATCAAATGATACCATAATATGCAGAGATGAATGGTCGGTAAGTATAATTAATGGAACTAAAATGTGAAACTGACGAAAGCGTATTTCCATGTGTATAAGCACTAAGTATTAATGTATTTGACATAAGTTTTAAAGGAAAGAATTATTGAACAACTCTTCAAAGTTCGAAGTATATATTAACGATTTAATGAGAACTTGGAAAATAATGTCGTATGCGATATTACCAATTATTCATGTCGCTTTAATTATGAGGGAATCTAAGTTTGAGCAGAAACTTACGATGAATAATGTATGTTCCGTGTATTGTCAAATTCTAGTAACGTACACATTTGCAGCAAATAGCTCATTTATTTTCGTTACTTGGCTAAAACAATCTGCAGAATAGACTCTTAACTTACCATCCTCTGTATAATTTATCTTCTTGGAAACTGCTATTTGCTCTCCACTTAATGAAGGACACTCAGATTAAAGAGAAGAAGTAATTACAACTAAGACGTGAATGTTTTCCGTCTTTATCACTCGTTTACAATTTTGTAAACGAGACAAAATTTACTGTTTCAAGTCTTTAGGGTACAATGTTTAGGGGTATTTAGATTTTAGTTATAATAAACTGTTTTTATTTTAGAACATAAAAATTTTTCAAAGGAAACAAAGCTTAACTCTCCTTTTACAGTGGTGATAACATCCATTTAGAAAGGTGGAAGAGTTTAATTGGATGCTTAGCAACAGTAGAATTTTTATAGTGATTCCTGCCGTTGAATTGGGTTCCGTTTAGTTTATTATGGCAAAGAACACTAAGGTCTATCTGCCTAAGGGGAGGAATGCCTTCGTGGAGGAATTTATGAGGAAAACTGGCTCGTATACACATTACACATGAGGAAAACCCCGAAAACGCCCATAAAGCCAGCCTGTTCTCATGGATTCGAACGTAAGTTGGAACTACCAGTGGTTCAGCGATTTTACCGCTCGGCCGTTGTTGGGCATCCGACCATTGAAAAAACAGATCTAAGTACACTGATAATAAAGTAAAAATAGCAGTTTTGTAATCTTGCTTGCAACGAGGAGAGGGAATTAAAAAAAGGAGAAGCAGAAAGTATTTGGTTGAAAAGCGAATGCGAAAATTTTATAAAGGGTTGCGAAAAGTTTATTAAAGAAATGTTAATACCAACTTACCAATTTTTCTTATCTTGCCAGCTGAACATAATATATATATATATATATGAGTGTTTTGAAAAGGAGACGGATATTACTGGTTAAATCTGTAGGCAACCATTTGTTGTTCATTGCAGTAAAATGAGATTATTATGTTATTTACATAGAAGCAATATTTTAAAATTTCTCAAAACTTATACAGCTATATTTTTCCTTCGTTAATAGGACTGACAATTCTATTCTTTCTTTTATATTCTTTTTACAGAAACTGCTCAAAAATTGTTTCTGAGTTTGATATGTAAATTTTTGTGTTTAGCTTCATGTCCTGGACAGTTTCCTGATTGAATGTTAAATACAGTGTCAATTTATTAATAATGCGATTATTCTTACGTTCATAGATAGTGAAATATCCCAACTCAGTTGCAGAAATAGCTGCAAGAAGCCATAAAATTTAAAATAAGAAACAATAGTGAGTGATAAAAATAACATACCACTGTAAATGCGGAAAGGAGATTTCACGAAGGAATATTATGTGCTTGGTAGAATATGGAAATAATTATTATCTGTTATGAGCTGTTAATGAAAATCATACATTGAAAAAGATATATTGTAACACGAAAAGTAGTTCTGTTATGGTTAAATCGAGCTTAGTAATGAAACACTATCTGCGCTAGAGTCAAGAAAAGATATGCTGTTCCCTTATAACAAAATATAACATGACATTCACGAGAAATGCTTCAAAAATTACAATGATTTTCAGAGAATATCACTCTATCTTTTAAACTATCACCAACTATTTACCTCCTAGGAGACTTCAAAATTACTTTAAACATACTGAATTTAGAATAAGGTTATCCGAATTATCTCAATTTATTTCTAGGCTATATTTTAGACCATCTATCAGCAAAGCATTAAAAATGTAAAATTAAGATGAAAAACATCTGCAAAGGATAAGTGTAAATATAAATATATCTTAGACTGAGCACCGAAGCTCTTTAAATTTTCTCCAAAAACCGAATTCCATAAGACCTGACTTAGTAATTGTTAATAAGTAATTTCTCAGTAACGCAAAATTAAAATTAAAATTCAACGGAGAACAGCATTTGCAAAGGATTTTTTTATTGAATTTTAATACTTTTCACAATATAATTATACGCCAAATGATTTCTGAATTTCATATATCTAGAATATTTCGTTGTTATTAATGTGTAATTATCTTTAGGTAATGATTAACCTTTTGCTTTCATGTATAACTTTTCTTTACTCTTTTCCCACATTCATTGTGTAAATAAGAAATTAACCAGAAAATGACAAAAAGGCTTAATTTGGAAAGATATAATTTCTGTGAAATTAGCTTTATCAGCTTCTGAATTAGAATGCTATCCAACGTTAGCTATTGATCTTATTTTCAAGGAGCCATTGCGTAGCCTAGGAAAACGCAAGACTACTTGTAGGGTAAGTTTGATTTTGTATAAAGTTACTTCGATCGATAATGGTGAAAACCCAGGTGGGTTTCATTTAAATTTATTTTTCTTAAATATATAAAATTTTGTACATTATGTATGAAATATATATAAATTTTATATAATATACCTAAATATTTAAAATGTTATATCATATATTTTTTTAATAAATTGTTGAGAAACGTACTATGATCCTGTGCCTCAGATTTATGAATGGTTCCAAATGGGAAGTTATTAGTGTGCAAGCATGCTGCAACTCACAGAGCTTCATTTTGCTGATAATTTTTGCATTATAAATTCGCGTAATACATTAGGTTATTTTATTTCACAACGTCCGATTTTATTCACAGTATTTTATTTAGAGATGTGATTTAGCATTGAACTTGATCATTTGAAGAGAAATTCTTCAAAAGCACAGAGAGCAAGAATGTAGAAGTATCAAGAAAGTGCTCTTCCTTTATGTGAAATTTATATTTGCTCATATAGATTTCTGAGTAATTTGCAGAGAAACATGAGCATCAGACATAGCACCTTTAGTGTGTGATAGTTCATTTCAACAGAAGAATGTATTGAGATTACAAGATATGAATTATTGAGTTATTGTAGTGCATTATTATTATTTCTTTTTATAATCATTTGACACTAGAAAGAAATATGCTGTCGTTTAATAATATTACAAAGAGTGTTTATTAATTATAATAATGGCTCAAATGTTTAAAAAAAGATCACTTATGTATATTTTAAATCATACAAACTGCCTGTGGTTATTAATAAATTTTTTAAAAAATGCATATTATTAAGAAGTATATGCATTGCTTTAAAACGCTCACTTGGCTATATTGCTTTAATATGAGAGATACATTAAGTATCTTATGCGCAATTTGTAAGCAATATTTTTGTGAACTAGAAATTTTGCATGCTGACATTAAATAGTCAGCATTAAGAACAAAATTAATAGCATTAAGAACAAAAGGTCAGAAAAATAACAAAACTAAGTGGTGAGCCCTTTTTTACTATCAATTTTTGCTTTGGAAAAATGATATGTTACGTTATTAAAGTACAGCCTCACCTTGAAAACTCAGAACTCTTAATAATAGAGAAAATTATTCTTAGAATAAATTAATAGAGTATCATTTGTTATTATTGAAATTTAGATAGTCTACTCCTCTTCACTGTTTGCTTCAGCCAATTAGAGAAATTATTTAAACTTAGGATAAGTAACTAACAGAAAGAGCACTGGGTAAACGTTCTTTGTTATGTATGAATGCCAGTTTGGAACCGATTGACATAAAATGCTTCACTTCAGAGGTGAACAAGAAATGTTATACAAAATGTTGTTTTGAATCTCCAGCCAGTGGAATACGGGTTAGCTTATGTATTAAACGAAACTAAAATACTAGAGTTCAAAGCAGACACGAATATCATCAGCTATTTAATTTAGTACTTGCAGTTTAACTGAATTTCTGATTATGTGTTATTTTCCGATGTGATATAGTAATTTATGCTCTTCTTCTGTTAATTCTGTAAACGTTTTAATAACTACAAAAGGGAAATATTGTATGATAAATTAAACTAGATAAGTTGAAATGAAAATGATATATCAAATTTTCATTTTGCGTTGCATTTCAGAACCGTTAATTTTCAGTCTTATACAGCACGTAAACTTAAGTAATTCGTAACTGGTCTAATAACATAACTGGGTGCATCGTTCAGGTCATATCAGTTGTCTAAAAAAGATCAGTTGTATTTATAAGCATTTTAACTTCCATATCCATATCATGTTTCATTATTCAAGATACATCTGACAAAAAGGAAACCTGCTTGATAAAACTAACCTTAATTCTACTATATTTTAGGAGATACCCCATTCGTGTAGAGTAACTTAGAGAAATAAGAAATAGTTTGGAATCCATTTCGAAATTATAAATGCTGAGAAGAATCATTAATACATTACTGTAGAAACTGGATTCAAGAACTTTGCCCTCAAACATTTTATAGAAGGAATAGAACAAACTGATTGATACAGAAAATTAAATACATTCATCTTAATGTACTCAATATCTATCATTTCAAAGTAATATAATCGCATGGATCTATATCTAACAGATTTTGTATCATTAGTAATCAGATTTCGCGTTTGCTGAATCATATGAGATATTTAAATGACACATTATCTACTATGTAATCTGAAGATTTTAAAAGTAATGAAATCAGTATTGCTTCTGAGCAATCTCAATAACCTTATCTAAAAAGTTGAACTGCAAACCTGAAGCTTTTAATGACTTCATTCTTTATAGTCCATGCCCCATAATTCATGACGAGTAGACCTGGAAAATGCAGCATGGGCCACAAACCTCTATTCTCCATCTTGATTAATAAGATACAGTCAAGCATGTGACACATTTTGAAATGAAACGATGAAGTTTTTAACTTAATTTGACATTCTTCATTCCTCATTGCAACACGGAGTAACTTTATAAACTGGAATAGGAAGATGTGTAGATGTGTTTCCCACGCGCTGTTTACAGTCCATACGAATACATTAACGTCTGGAAGGTGACATGGATTCTCGTCCTTTTTCAAATTCTTAAGGTGTCAAAATAGTGCCGTCTAGGTGTGTCTTGCTGCCTCGTTAGCTTTACATTAACACTGGCGGAGTTTTCATGCATTCATGTGAAATGACAAAATTTAGCACTTTATTAACATAGGAAATGGCATTCTATGAAAATGATCCTTTTTTTTCCTTGATATGAAAAAAATCTTCCAACACTTAGTAAGTGTTGGTAAAAACCTAAATGTGATGTTACTTAATTACGAAAGCTTTCTGACAGGAAAACTAAATAGTATACTTATTAGAAATTATCCAAATTTTCTTTTATTCAAATCGAATTCATGAAGGTCGTTGTAACGCTAATTTAGCTGATTAATGAAATGTTATGTTAAAAGAAAAATGACATTATGCTAATGGACTATTTTCGAGATTTTTCATGGGTTCTTAAAACGAGTTAGGTTGTTATATTAAGTGGCAAAAATGCGAGTTGGTTGTTTTTTTAATTAAGACCTGCTAATCATTTTGCATGCTTTTGCTTACCTGCAACCTCATGTAGAATTTCTAATTATCGTTACAATATTCATGAGAAATATTTAATGTGAATTATAGCGCCATCCGCCGAATTATATTGAGATATTACTAACTTAAGAATGAGGATATTAAATGAGGGATAAAATGAACTATATTATGTAAATCATCAGTAGCAAAAGATGAAAAGGCTTTCATACTTTGTTCACAAAATACTGATTAAAATATCCTAAGTTTCGAAGAGTAAAAGATTAATTTTTCGGATCCCTAGTGTATCTCAGATATGTATAGCTTTACTAAATAATGAGCTCCCTAATCTACGCATGTAATTAATTTCCCAAGGAAAACATTTTGTTCACGGAGTAATCCCAGGTAAGTAATTCTTTCTGTATTTTGTTACTTTACTTAAATACATTTAAAGCAACACCCGTGAAATTGAATTTTTTTAATAACGCGTCATAAAGACTTTTGTAACCCTTTCAATTAAAACATGGATATAAGGAATGTTTAATTCATTTTCTCCTAATTTTTATTGTAGTAAGTATTTAACAAACGGGGTATTGGTAAGAACTGTAGTACCGGGTATATGAACACTTCAAGAATGCACATTCATCTCTGTCTACTTTATGTCAGAGTTTCTTAAACTGTGGGACCTGCAGCAGAGGGTCGCCAAACATTTTAGCAGGTATTGATATTTCTTATTATAATAATTTTAAAATTACCAAATATTTTTACACAATGTATCTGAAAATAGATAGAGATAAGACAATACAGAAAAAGAAACGAAAACATTTCCACGCATTCTTTTTATAATATAAACGTTCATTTTACTTGCTTTGCACGTGGCGCTGTTATTTCGTCTGTTACTTATTTAAAATTTTCACATTGTTCTATGTCTTAAAATTAAAAATTAAAGTTATTCACCTAAAACTGTAATACAGTGCAAGTGAAAAGATTTACAGTTTCACTCACGCGTGTGTCGGATTTGCGCAGTACTTATGGGGTCCCACAAAATTTTTCTAAATAATGTGGGGTCCTTGGAGTCGAGAAAAAATCTCAGTGATAGAAAGGGGTCGTGGTTGAAAAAAGTTTAAGAAATCTTGCTTTATGACATACAGCCACTCAAAATGTGTATTTATTTCAAACGGTCTTAAACATTCTCTGAAATCATTCTTTAAGCTATATGTGAATTTCTATACTTTAATAGAAATAAAAGATATATATTTTGGACAAGATTCCTTTAAGTAATTTATTTAATAAACGAAGATTTTATAGCATCCATTGGATTCCATTATTTCCTAAATGTTTTTTTTTTCAGAAAAAGTAATATAAAGTTCATTGGATAAGCACGATTATAATAAAGCATTAGACAGTTAATATTCTTATGTCAAATAAAACTAGCTCTCATTTGTTTCATGCACTGAAGAAAACTCCCCGAAACTAATGCTTGAATTATTAGTATTAGTGCTTATCTTAAGTTCAAGATTGTAGACGTATTCCTTATTGATCCTAAAAGAAGTGATCAAAATATACTTTAATTTCTTATCATAGATCTTTGCACGAAAGTTCTGACTATAGTCTAATGTATTCCATCCCAGTTTTTGATGAGAAACTCTTAGGAATCCAAGATCCTCACATAATTCATTATCTTCCATCAATCACTAAAGAGAGCTTTTCTAGCTGACAGATTTTCAGAAGTAACTATTTCGCACAGATTTTGCAGTCGCAATCACATATAGCTGACCAAGCGTTCGAAGTTTAAACCTATACCGAAAGAACAGCTTTCCGTTTTATTACGAGAAAAAATATAATCCATGCGAAGCTCTGCGGTAGTAGTTTAAAAATGGGATTATTCAAGGTTTTTCCAGAACTGGAATTCAGTATTTGATTTACCAGAAACTCAAAACAATTCTTTCAGGAAAAATGTAATAACTCCTATATTAAATTTCTTGCTCAACCAAAAAGAGCTTTTTTTTCCTTCACATAAGGCTCAGTCATGACAAAGTACATATTTAGACACCATAATCTATATATTCGTCTCTGAAATTGTTTTCTTTGAATTTTTCTATATATCTAATTTAATTACGTTCATCTTGGATATAGAACAGATTATGTAAGGTTTAGAAATGGTCTATTGGAAAATCCATAATTGGAGCAGAAATATGATCTGAATTGTTTCTCACATTGAACTCAAACATTACTGTTGATGACGACTGACTACACATTTAAGGTATTATATAATTAAATATCAGACAAAATTTCAGCAAAACTTACAATGTGAAATATACTAATCTACATACTGTAATTAACATCTTCTACATACTGTAATTAAGCATAATTCCGATTTTAAAAGATTACCTACCGTCAAGAGATCTCAGAAATATATGTGTAAATATTTTATTAGTAAAAATCATGAGAATTCTCAAACTTCAACGATATCATTTAACGTGATGAGTACATCGCCTTGTTTTGAAAAAGCATGAAATAAATTACCTTTGAAAACCATTTTTAAGATTATTAAAAAGAATCTAAAGCGAATCTGTAGAATTGTTAAAAAGAAGAAAGCTTGATCATTATAAATCTACAAATCTGATCAAGTACTTAAAAGCTATATTAGGCCTAAGATGGAATTGTTTTCATCATTTCTAAACATTTAAACTTTTTTATTATTTTATTTTATGTGTTCTAAGTATATTACCAACTTGAAAGCTCATTCTTTATTTTTTTTTACGATTTTTTCCCTTAAGTTATACAATTCTTCCCATACTATCCTCAGACACTATTATTCACATACTATTATCAGTTTCAGGAAAGATATGTTATTGCAAATTTCACAGTTTGTATATTCTTGTTAATTTGCGTGTTTGCATGTTTTTTTAATATTGCTCTTTTCGTCTAAGTTTATTCATTAAATGAGTTTGATAATTAAGTAAAAGACATTTTCTTAAACAAATTTATTGTATTTAATATATTTTACTAATTATTTTTGCCAAATGAAACCGAAGATTTACTTTTTTCCTTTTGTGCTTCACTTGCTATTGACCAAGTTCTTATTGAATATTGATAAAATATTCTTTTACTTTGGAGGAGAAATTGAAAGTAGGTTAAAAATCATTCCATTATTTTATATTCATTAGTTACTTAAATGTTTACGCGAATTTTACTGATTAAAGTGTGTAGGCAAATGTATGTGATTGATTACATGCAAGAAATGACAACAGTAATAATCAAAAAACGCTGAAATAAAACTATTATCTTAAACAATACAATGGAATTATACATATAGATAAACGACATTATAAACTTTAATAATATAACAAAATTAATGTAACATTAATAACCAACTCAGAGCTAGAGCAATAAATATTAATTTCATATAAAGCATTTAATTTTGAAAATTAAAGGGAATTCAAATTAAGATGATTTGTTGTAATTTAACTATATTCAAGGTGCAAATAATATCTAAAATATATGTCTTTAATATAGCGTGATTTAAATAGTTCAAATTTTGCTAATGATAACTGATTGGTTCCAAATATCCATTTTGTTTCTTCATCCTGAACTAATTAGGGTTTGCATATTACGAAACAAAGCGTATATTTTTATTCTATACCTCCCACCTGTCTTTTTAGATAAATATCGCACCATTCGGAGTCTTCAAACAATATATAACAACAGCATGGCAGAAAGTATGGGTCAAGATGTATGTAAGTGTAAAATGAACGAACAATATTTTAATTTATAGTGAAGTTATACGCGAGATTTAACACATTTAACAAGTTATATGTGAAGATTAGCACATATAAGAAAAAAGGATGCGAAGAACACTTGTCCAAAGAAATTGTAGTCAGTAACATTTTCCTCTGTGCTAAATTTTACTTTGATCAGTAGTTGGTTAGTAGAAAATTATTTTCTTCAAATGTTTATACATCAGTATTATTAAACAGAAACTTTTAAGAAAATCTTAAATATATCCAATAATGTAAGATTAAATGAAGTATATTCGCAAGATATTGATGTACTAAGTTTCTTATTAGCACCTTATTAGAGACAAAATTTAACAACTGACATAAATTTTATATAAGACATAAAATTAATGATTTTGGAAACATGGATCACCTTGTTTAAAAAATTTCCTTAGTTTTTTCAGATCAATATTTGGGCAGCATGATGAGAATCACATATCAGTTACGCATGGCCGGGCTTTGAGAGACGTTCGAAACCAAGACAGTATATTCATTGAAATAATATCTGTAATCTTTATTAATTTACATTTCTCAAAGGAGAC